AGAAGAAAGAAAATCCCAAGAAGATAAAAACACCTCCCGTATCGCTCTTGTTGGTACGTCAAAAGAACGATAAGAGAAAAGACGGGCGACTTAGTACCGCGACCTGCGGAAAAAACGGTGGGTCTGGCGTAACACCGTTACGTTACCTGAGAACAACCAGACCCGGAAGAACAAAGTGAGTGTTCTGTTTGTTTACATTTCAGAAATCTATTATTTATATAATCATAAGATCTGATGTAATGTGAAATCACACAAATAGCCAATCAGGAGACGTAAATTTTGTTTATTCCCACACTACAGTAATAACGATGATTTGCTACTCGATTATGGAATTATTATACAAATCACTATATATGTCTGGAATATCATGATCATCCAAGAAATTTTTTTTGTACTATGTTAATAAACAATATAGCTCAAAGTAAAATTGTAGAACTCATCAAGACAAATCTAACGGTGGTTATATTGTCAAAATTGGTTCAGTGGTTGGCGAGATATCGCTAAAAAACGATTGGCCAACTATGTAAAATTCTGTGTAAACTATTGTTTACAAGAATTTTTACATAGTCAACTGGTATCAATACCCTATCTTATTCATGATCGTAATAAAAACATTTAATATCCACTTTTTCGCCAAAAACACATGATAAACAATAATCTTAAAAAAAAATAAATACAAACGCAAATCCAAAAATTAATACTCATGCAACACAAATTTGTATTTATTAATGAATGAATAACATAATTTATTCTATTAATAATGTTAAAAGATTAACGAAGAATTGATTTTTACAACTTATTTTTTTTTGATAAATCAATCAAAATCGAAAAAAAAAACACATTGCGAACAACCAATCAAATGTCAGTTGAATAAAAAAAACGAACATATCAGATATACTGTAGTTCCATTTGTAATGTCCTAAATAACTATGGGTTCTGATATAGCTAATTAGTAGTCATTATAAAAGGCTATTTTTTTCTAATTAACATTAATCCATCAAAGCATGGTAAAAGTACTTGCGTAGTTCGCGAATCATTAGCGACATGTTCGTTAAATAAATGTAGATGTTTAGCTGAGGAAGGAATTTGACTAGTATCATTTGCTTCAGCCGCTTGTGAAACGTATCCTCCAAATAACACTACGTATTAAAAATGATTTTTATAATTAGAAAAGTTGATTTACATATGTGCTACATAATGAGAATGGTTTTTTTTCTATGTTTAATTAAAAAATTATGAATTTTTAATAAATTAATCGTACCATTATCAGCAACGATAACTCCATCATCAGAAAGAAGATTTCGTTCAAGAATAGTATTATAATAGTTGATATAATTAATCTTGTCTGCATCTATTTTCATAAGAGAATTAAAACATATTAATACTGTATAATTATTTTATTTAATATATATTTAAAAATTTTAATCATACCAATAAATATCAGATCGTATTGCACTGAATTATCTATATTTGAAAGTCTAAGTTTCAAGAGCAATTTGTTAATTACGCCTACTTATCATATAATGATTATGATGAAAATATTTAATTATCACTCACGTTTCAGTCGCATCGCCATGTTTTAGTTCAATTAGGTGTCCAAGTCCAGAAGACTCTATGTTCTCTTTTGCCGCCTTAAAATATGTCAAGTCCTTTTCCAATGTGACTACTTTTGCTTCTGGCCCTCGCTCTTTTAAACCTTCGGCCATGCACAGTGCCGAATAACCAGTAAAAGTTCCAAGCTCTAGAACTTTTGTAACTTTACTCATTTGTACAAGGAGTTTCAAAAAAGCGCCTTGTACTGTAGATATCATCATATGAGACTTTGGGAATGAAGACACGGTTTTTTCGTGGACTGCTTCCACATAATGTGGTTGTTTTGCAGTATAAGCTTCTGAATACTGACCATCTTGACTACTAAGAACACGCATCCTGACCACTAAGAATATGATAAGAACGATGAATGTTTTTTAGTTGGAGTTGTATTGAGAATGGACGATTACTTATTGATGAGATTAGAATTATTAAATATTATCGTTATGATGAGTAATCCAATATGACGTATTATTAAATGAAGGGCAAGATCGCCTAAGTTATAAAAATATGACGTATTATTTATAATATTTATTTAGCCCATTACTAGAACCTGTTTTTTATCCTGTGGCATTACGGACATTTTTCCAAAATTCAAATATTACGTAACTTTGTTCGAAATAGTTAATGTGTTTCATTGGAACACTGTAACTTATATATTATTGACCAATAAAAATTCTGAAACGTGGTTTTTATATAACTGTATAACATAACGCAAGTACCAGGCACGGTACTACGTATTAATTTACTATAGTGCCAATGTCTACTATGTTTTAATAGTGTTAGAGGGAAAGACGGCGAGTTAGTCGTTCGTTCTTTCAGGCCTTCGCGTAACGTTGTTCGATGGAATAGCGAGGCGGAAACGATTTGACAAGGTAAGGCAGTCGAATACGTTACACGGTTAAACAGGTATGACAATAGGGAATTTTATTTTTATGGCAAATTAATTATTAAATTTTAATTATTAATTACAGAAGTAAGGGAGGCGAGGGATCGATTATTTTACTTCAAGGTAAAAAGGGAGGACTTTTTATAACGAATTTTAAGGGAAGTATACTACGAACTCATTCCCTTTTTCTTTACTAATATTTCCTTTTTCTTCTATTTTCACAGTCTCCTTCAAACCATTCTTTGACCCGTGTTTCTCTCTTTTCATTAACTTCTTTTTTTTGTAGGTCACGCCCATAGAACTGCAGCCGCGTAACCAAAAAGTATCTTTGCGGTACCAGGGCTCAGCCGTGAGCTCGTGAAGATGAGTTATTTTGTTGCGCGTTGTGTTGGTTCTGCCTTCACTTTCTTCCTTTTTTAGGTTAGTTAACACTTCTTCCAGGCTTAGCATCGTGGGCGGAAAATCGGGTTACACGTTCGCTGGTCTTACAATTTGGGTCACGTTTTCGGAGATCGTTGCGCAACGGTTCTAACCGGGTTTGCCTCTTACAATAGTAACATGCCCAGCATTTTAAAATTATAATATCAAATAATGAACTGCAAAAAAACTTGACTGGAAGGGTCCAATGACAACTAATCAGCCTTCCAGTTCCAGCGATTCCCATTGTGACAACACTATCGTCGATCAACTGCAGATTATAAATTTGCTAACGCTAATTTAAAATGAATCATTTAATAAATCGAAAGTTTTATTAAGGTAATATTCTAATAAAGCACATAATCGTCTAAGTTACTTGTCCACGTAAAGTTTTATTTTTGATAAATTTAAAATGCACACGTTCTTGATGTAGTATGTGAACTATGGAATATACGATATATTTGCACATATACAATATTTCTGTATAAAAACATGTTTTTTTTTTGCTTTTTCTCTAAATAAAAAATTTTAAATTATTTTTTTCAATTTCATAAATTAATAACTTAAATTTTTTTATATCAATATTGAAAAAATATATAAATGTTTGAGTTTAACCTCACTAGATTAAGATTTTAATTAGTCTTCATTGATACTATAAACAAAAGTGACTTGTAATAAAGACTAATGAAGAAGAACAACTTGATTATTTATTTATTTTTTTTTTTTTGATAAATCGAAAAAAAATAGTTGCGAACAACCAAACAAAATGTCAGTTGGTAAAACACGAACATACAAGATATACTGTAGTTCCGTTTGTAGCATCCTAAATAATTAGGGGCTATGACTTTGCTGATTAGTAGTCATTATAAAAGGCTATTTTTTTCGAATTAGCATTAATCCATCAAAGCATGGTAAAAGTACTTGCGTAGTTCGCCAATCATTAACGACATGTTCGTTAAATAAATGTAGATGTTTAGCTGCGGAAGGAATTTGACTAGTATCATTTATTTTAGCCACTTGTGATACGTATCCATAAAATAACACTATTAAAAAATGATTTTTATAATTAGAAAGGTTAATTTACATATATGTTATAATGAGAATTGATTTTTAAGTGGATTCAGAATCTCTTAAATTTAGGATTTAATAATTATTTATATAGATTTTATACCTTGGTTAAATTCTAAGTTTAATTAAAAAAATTACAAATCCACAAGAATTTTTTAATAAATTAACCGTACCATTATCAGCAACGATAACTCCATCATCAGAAAGAAGATTTCGTTCGAGAATAGTATTATAATAGTTGATATAATTACTCTTATCTGCATCTAAGTTCCATAAGAGAATTAAAACATATTAACACTGTATAACTATTTTATTTAAAATTCTAATTATACCAATAAATATCAGATCGTATTGCACTGAATTATCTATATTTAAAAGTCTAAATTTTCAAGAGCAATTTGTTAATTACGCTTACTTATTGTATAATTATGAAATATAAATTATCACTCACAAGTCAGTCGCATCGCCATGTTTTAATTCAATTAGATGCCCAAGTCCAGAAGATTCTATATTCTCTTTTGCCGCCTTAAAATGTATTGGGTTCTTTTCCAATGTGACTATTTTTGCTTCTGGCCCTCGCTCTTTTAAACCTTCGGCCATGCACAGTGCAGAATAACCAGTAAAAGTTCCAAGCTCTAGCACTTTTGTAACTTTACTCACTTGTACAAGAAGTTTCAAAAAAGCACCTTGTACTGTAGATATCATCATATGAGACTTTGGGAATGAAGACACGGTTTTTTCGTGGACTGCTTCCACATAATGTGGTTGTTTTGTAGTATAAGTTTCTGAATACTGACCATCTTGACTACTAAGAGTACTAAGATAAGAACGATGAATGTTTTGAGTTGGAGATGTATTGAGAACAGAGAAAAACCTTAAAATGTAGGATCTATAAAGCATTGTCGATCAACAGCTAATTTTCTAACTGATGATCTCTGGTTTGTTGATTTTCTATGTGTAACATAACGCAAACAAACTCGAGGAATTGTTTTATTTTTTGAGTGAAAAACCAGGAATTCTAAAAATAGATTAAGAATTTATAATAAAATTATATTTAGAATTCTTGGTTGAATTCTATGAATTAAGTTATTTCGCTCAAATTTTAGGCGCAAGCTTATAATAGACTTTTAGAGTTTTCTAAAATATAATTTATAACATATAATCTAATAAAACTTGATGAAAATTTTTATTTAAATTTTATTATAGAATTTAAGAAAAATTTTTTTATCAAATTTGAAGGAATTAGATGTGAATTTAGACTATAGTTGTAATTACTACTATTATCAGTTATATTAGCATTTTAATTTTTAAAAAAGTATTTATTTCTTTTATATAAGATAATTAATATAAATTAACAAATTAATTTTTATTATAAATCAAATTTAGATGAGTTTTAATTGCTCTAATAGGTTTAGGTTGCAGATATTAAATCAAAATAAAATTTTATTATTGAATTTTAATTAAAAATAAATAAAGAATATCAAATAATAATATTTCTCAATTATAATATTTAAGAATTTTATGTTAATAAAAATCTTTTATTTTTAAATTGTTTTACTTATTATAATATATATTAGTAAGGTTTAGATACTTTTTGATTTTTAAAACTTTTAAAACTTTTATTATATAAGTATTATATTTATAAATTTATATAATAGTTATATTTGTCAATATTAGTTTAAAATCAATATTGTACTATATTTATAAAATATAATTTATTTAGACAATTATACAATTAATTAAAAGTTTATTTCTCTTTGAAGTAAAAAAAAAAAAAAAAAGTAATAATAGTTCTCTTAAAATGTAATTTTTTTTTTTATTTTCAGAGTGCTTTATAGATATAGTAAGTTATGTTCGACATCTAACAAAGATTTAATTCTTAGGTGAGGGTTTAGATAAAAAAAAAAAATTTTGCATTTATTGTAATATTATAAAAATATTCATTTTATTTTTAAAGAATAATTAGATCTCAACAAACAAGGTAATAAATAGTTCTACATCTCATAGAGTAATTAATATTTTTATTCTCTGATTTGGTCATTTCAGTTATACTATAATATAGACACGAAAACAGAACAACTTATCAATTATATTTCCTGTTTGTCAATATTTCAACAGAAATCTGGAAAAAAAGATGAAAATATATGCTTAATTTTTAGTGTATAAAATATTGAATTCTTAAAATATCAATAAGGATTGATATTAGGTACTGTACATATAAAACTAAGTAAAAAAAATTTTATTGCTTTTTTTCGATTATATTAATATGTAAAAAAATAAAGGAATTTCTTTCAATCCCAACTATCATTATTGTTCGAATTCCACCTGATTGAACAAAGTTACGTTTAAACCACGCATACATTGTGATGCTCTCCCAACCAGTCGTAACAATATTTTTTGTGTTTGTGAATCCCGTGAGTTAGGTAATCAGTCATCTTACATCGCATATTTGTGGAACTCATTTACGAATACTTTTTTTAATGTAACTTAATTATTACATGTATGTTATCCAACATTCTATATAAAGTCTACGCTAAAGAAAATGGTTAACAAAAAGCATTATATTATATATTTTGCTTCCAATACTAGTAAATATTGCCATGCTTTAATTTACGGATTTAAAATATACCGGATCAATGTGTGTACAGTATGTATAAAATTTATAAAATTAAAATGTCAAATTTTGAATACGTAACAGTTGGTAAATGCAAAAAAAAAATCATCTGATGAAAATTTCGGAAAATCCGAAATTAAAAAATTAGATTTTCTATACGTATACGTACAATTCGAAAACTCACTTATATGAAACTAACTTTTTGTTGCCTAATTCTAATCTAATCCTGATTCTAATAATGAGCAACATCACAATAATCGTTATAATTAAACTTTTTTCCGATTAAAATATATATATATATCTAATTTTAAATATAAAATTTTACAAATTACATAATAATAAAAATAAAAGATGGAAATATGTAACAATCTGATCTTTAAAAGAAAAAAAAAAGTAGTTGTTTAGCATTTTATTTACCACATTACAATTCAGACATAACAGATTAAAAATACTCTATATTTAACTAATTTTTACAACGAAAGAAATGTAACGTCAGAGCTGTATTACAAAGAATTAAATGAATACAACATATCGATATGGGCGGATTTGACGCATGTGACTCAATGTGACAATATGAAGATCAATAATTTTATTGGCTGTTGCTCTGATTTATTCCCTTTTATAGGGGTCGTCTAAAGCGGGGCAAATTCACGTGACCACGGCCAATCAAATTAGATGATTGCCGGCGAAGCAAAACAAGACGAAAACCCCAAGAAATCTACCTCAGGTAGGTTAAGTAAAGGCAATTTTTGCTTATATATAACTAACTACGTAAAACCTAATATAAGATACTATAAAAGAGCAACAGCCAATAAAAATCATTGTTCATCATATGATAGTTAATTCAATTTTGTCACATTGATATTTACTTGCGTACAATCCTCCCAATATAAGATACAGATACGTATTAAATTATTAAATAAGCAACGTGATTTAATTACGGATGTGAATTAAAGTAGAATAAACAAATTGACCGATTCTACCGATTCTATTTATAAACATAATACAAAACAATAACCAGTTATATCAAAAGATAGCAATTGGTAATTTGTAATTTTATAAATTATAACGATAGATTGACGTTAATCTTGATATAACCGTAACCGATAAAAAAAAATAAAATGGATCAGATCGTTTGTTTATATACCTGCTTTATACAAAAATATATATACGTATATAGTAAATTTTTATATTAATTAAATTAAATGTTAATATTGACTTCTTTTGAACAGGTATTTTCATTTCCATACTATATCGAGCATCTATGCCTAATTTGAAGACAAGTGAAACAAGGGATAATCAAGAAATTACTTTAATATGGTAATTGTGTCAATAAAATTTATTAAGAGGATCATAATTACAATTTATCATCCAATGGCTTCAAAGGTGTAACTACTTGTACTCTAAAACTCTTCGTGCTTAATGTATGACGATATGTATTTTCAGTTCTGCCCCTAATTTTCTCAAACATTCGCACTTTCACCTACAGTTGTTATTATTTCTTGTTCTTTTTGCCCTCTAGTCTTGATTGCGCAACCAACAATTCGAAAGGATTAGCTGGTTTGCCTGTTGATTCCTTTCTACTAATAACGGCTTTGTGTGTCCTGTTTTTGCTCTCTGACTCCTCTTTAGACACCTAAACGACACCCAAACTCTATACCATCATCTCGACTTGGGGAAGTCCTTGAGAGAACTGACAGCGTAATTGTTGAAATACCCATTAAAGCAATAGGGTCTTGTGTGTCTGGCTACCGCTGATCCTGCTTCTCTCTTTTAAACAAACTTTTGAGTCCTTTCGTTTGAAAGTTTTTTTTTTTTTTTTTTTTTTATCACTCTTTTTAGAGTAAGTTTAAAATATAAATATAATATATATATATATATATACGTAATTATTATTAATTATTATTATCTATTACTTTTTTATCATTTTTGTTTGATATAAAAAATTTATAATTATTATTTTTTTTTTCAATTTACTTATAGAATATTAAGCATATTAAGCATATATCACATAATGGCATCACTACGACGCATCCAAATTTTTCTTTTATTTATTATTGTATCATTATTCATTGCAAATACTGGAAATGTAAATGCTCAAAATAATACAGGAGGAGCAGCACCAGCACCAGCAGTGTCGCAACCACCAGTAGCAGCAGATACCCCGCCAGCAGGGCAAGCTCAAACTAATAATATATTACCTACTGTAAGTTTATATCATTTTTTACAAATTAATATTTTAAATATATAAAAATCAAATTGTTAATTATTTCAAATTTTTACATATAGGTTATACCAGAACCTTCGACACCAGCACAAATTACAGAGCCGCCGCCGCCGCCAGTTTCAAATCCCACACCAGCACCAGCACCAGCACCAGCGCCTACACAAGCACCACCAAAACAACAATCCCAAGCCCCTCAACAAGGTGGTAAAATTACCGCGAAAGCTCCCGTTTTACCTTCTGGTCCTAGTGCCATCACTATTACATCCACGTCATATGTAGATTCTGCAACTCCTCCTCCAAAGAATAATAGTAATTCCGCCAATAGCAATAGTAGTGATTCCAGTAGTTCTACTAGTAGTATTATTACAGCTGCTATTGTTGTTGGTACCGTGGTTGTCGCTGCGGCTATTGGTATATGGATATTTAGAAAATGGAAACTCACGGTATGTATATATATATATATAATATATATATATATTTATATTTTATTCATATTATTTTTTTTTTTTTAATGTTTCTAATACGCGATCAATTGATTGATCAATTAATTAAATTTTCTATTAAAAAAAAAAAAGCCATCACGAAATTTCAAAGAAAAGATTCAACCTGTCGATTTTGGTCCACGTTCAGTAGAATCAGATGAACTATTTTTACGCGG